TCTAGTCTTTTGTTCTCCAATTTGTAATTCTCTCCTTTAATAATCTGCTTCTCATCAGTTGGTAGGTTTGAAAATAACACACCACATCTTTAAATTAAGGACCTGATATCTGTTGTGGTGGTAATATGGTTTATAGGTAAATGAATAAGCAAGAGTCCCATCTACTCTCAGAATAATTTCAGGTCTTGCTGATTCCACAGATTTAGCTAGTCAGCATTAAAGTCTGTTTGCTTTTGGAAGATCAGAGTCCTGGCCCAGTATCAGTGCTTTCTAACAGCCACATCCAGAGCAGAAGTAATGTGAAGGGCTGTCACAATATTGGCATGCTTCCATCAGTGGTAGCAGTATTTAATAGGGGTGTAATGCCTCATAGAAAATGTAATGGTGTATTTCAAATGTTTTTAGTTTTTTCATGCGGTCAGCTTCTATATTTTCCTTCTGTTATTAATTAGATAATTATTTGTTATCATTATACATTGTAGAATGGAAAATTCTTAATTTTCCATTTGCATTAGTATTGCAATGTACCCTGTATATATATATATGTACATAAAATACCTTCTTTGAATGCTTGGCATTTTCTCTTGCAGTCATGTGAGGTGGAAAACTGCCCATTTCTAATCTTTAAGGGCGTGTTTTACAATACTGGTTTCTGTTTTGGACGTGTATTTTAATACTGCTACAATCATTGCTTTGTAACAGCTGACATACATTGAACATGTGTTATCTTGTCTCCCGTAGTTTGCATATTTCAAGATGCAGTTGGTAACTAGAGACAATTCAGTTATTTGCTTCCTTCCCTTTCTGAGAAGCTTTGGTATTATTTTTATCACTATATCATTAATTTCTCTTGGTGGTTCACAATTCAAATAAATGTTGCTTTTAAAAGAAACCTGATGGTTCTTACGGCAGTAGTAATATATGGTGATGTGAATTTATTTTCCTTAGGTCCAGGTAGAATAAGTAAATCCAGGCTGGAATGGAGTAAAAACATCATTTTACTTATAATTTTCCTATCAAAAGAAAAGCATTGGAACAATTGCATTTGTATAAGGCAAAATAAATTTTTGCTTTGATTGCTATACAGAGAGACTTTGGTCATTTTTGGTAGCTCGCTGAACATAGTTTTGGACCTTTTTGAACCACTTTATTTTTTACTACTTAGTACCTGTAAAGATCATTGTAGCATCATCTTTATATTTGCTATCTCTGTCTCATGGTTTTTAAACCCCCCCCCCCAAAATATTGTAAAATAAGCTTCCTAAAACCTACAGAACATAATCTGCTAGATTAGAAGAATGCTGTTGCTCATTTCAGCTACTTATTTTTTTTAAATTTCCTTACAGTTGAAAGCTCATCTTACCTAAGCTTTCAGAGAAAAGAATATCAAGGAGCAGAATAACAAATTATTTTTTATTAAACTCTTAAAGCATTGTCCTGATTTTTTTTTCCCCCTGTCCCCAAGAGCATGAGATCATCCTCTACAGGGAAATGTGTATGTTGCTTGACAGAACATGACATCATTGCATTACCTAAACCAGGATGAGGCAATTCTTAGTAGTCTGTTAGAATGAGCACTGTCCCCCAGAGAGTGTTGCTGTTACCCTGACTAGTGCTTTAGAGCAGAAAACATGCTGCTGATTAAAATGTGCATTTGAGTCCCTAGCAACAAAACAGATGTCTCTTCGTGGATGTCTTTTGTTCTTTAAAGCAGTGCAGGTGACTTGATGCGTTAAGGTGCTCAGAAATTGATTAAAGGTGAGTTACAGATTCTAGTCTGAAGATAAAGCATGCATATTTTAAATACTTAATGTATTATGCCCAGTTTTTCTTCACTGTCTCTAGCTTCTGTAAAGACTCTCAGACAAGCTCCGGGTGTGATGCAGTAGAATGCTGTAAGCTTTAACACTTCATTAAACAAGTGAAACTGTAGGCTGTGAGCTAGGCTTGCAAAGGCTTTAGTAAGAAATATTTTTATGATAGGGTATTACAAAATGTGTTTTACATTTTTCAGAAACAAAGTACTGTAGTTCATTGTAATTGTAGGTTTTGCTAGCAGCTATTTCACACTTCATTGTTTCTTTGGCATTGGATCAAGGACAGCAGTTTTAGAGTTCTAAGGCTGCAAAAGGTCAAGGATGTAAGTCTTAATTTATGGTCATTAAATGTTGAAGATCTTGTTATTTGCAGCATGCTTTAATGTTTGTGCTGTAGAGGCATTCAGTGGTACCAGTCTGTTAGGTCTCCAGTTTGCCTACTTAACACTGGTGAACAGCAGCAGACTTACTCCCACCAGCTTACTAAAACCAGTCCCTAATGGGATGCGACAGTTTGGTTGGAGTACACCTGATGTGAACCCAAGGCAGCCTAATGATCCACTTACCCTCCCTAATGATTCCAAAGTCTCATGTGTTGGCCAGAGAGTTGTTAGCTTTCCCTGTGCTTTAGCTGAGTCTTTCTCAAGTACTTATTGGTAGCCCAGGCTGGCTTGTTTGATAGACAGGAGGTGACCACGGCTCACGTAGGCACATATTTACTAGTGTATACTAGTTGGTTCGTGTACTTGCAGCACTGGCACTGCAGATCTTCACAGTGCTAGACAGCTGGGATGAACACCTGGGCTTTTAGCAGAAGTTGAATTCCATGCTGACATGGCTGCACTGCTCTAGATACACCTGCTGACTAGTTTTGATAATGGACTTGGCACATTACTGTGCTTTTTTATATGGTGGTGTTCTTCATTACTCTTGGCTGACAAAGAACAAACAAGAAAGAAAGTTAACCTTTTCCCCATCTATCCTATCAATCCCAGGCACAGAGAAGGGTTTGGGTTGTGCTTCTGCACATAGTGCTTCTCTGGAAGAAGAAACAGTGTGAGTTGCATCAGAATTGCAGGCCGGTCTGACTGAATGTTTTCCTACAAAATAAAGTTTTCCTCAAAAGTGTCAGGCTGAGACCTCAGGAAAGCTGGGAACCAAAGCCAAGGATGATTTTGGTGGGGACAGGGTTGAAAGAGGCATAGAAACTCCTGGAAGCTGGGCTCTGCTGGAGCAGGGGAACTTCTAGCGTTCTTGTCAGTGAAAGCCATTCTGTCCACTTCGCAGGGATCAGAAGCCCTGCTTCTCAGTTACAGCTGGGTGGACATACCAGTTGTCACTCTGCACTAGACTTTGTTGTCAATGCATATGCTCTCTGCCCAATGATAAGGCATAGGGTTGGGTCACTGTTGTGCCACAGCTCTTAGGTACTTGAATTATCCTTTGGAAGTGCTTGTCCCTTTTCACATAGGGAACTTTTAAGGAATTAGACTTTGAAGTTAGGATGAATGAATCCAGATCATGGTGCTAGGCAGGCAAGTTCAGCATCATAGCTGTAGTTCCTGCCCCATGATACTATCTTTAAAGTGAATTTCTAAAATATAAAGCAATAATGTATTTTAGAAATTTTATTTCTAAAATATCAAGCTTATTTGATACTTCTGTAATTTGGTTTTCAGGAAATTTCCTGTGTGCTGCTAATTTACATGATACAGTTCTCAAGTCTGGCATAATTTTGTGACCAAGCAGATTTCTTAATTACATCAGTGCTCCAAGACACAAAGAAATAGTATTCAGAGTAACCTTGAAGATCTTTTGAAGTCACTAAAAATGTAAGTAAATGTCTTTTAAGAAACAAGGAAAGAAAGAGGTTTATGTATAACCCAGATTAGTGCTTCTGATGCATCAGTAATTGTTGCCACAGAAAATGGATGTTCATGGTGTATTAGCTAGAGTATAGATAGGAAGTTAAGAGACTTAGTATAATAATAATGTGATGGTGTAGGATGGCAAATACAGTTTTCCACCAAAGAACCTAAGCCTTAAATAAGAATCTTCAGCAAATTTTACTTCTTGGTCTCTTTATACGTTCTTATTTATCATAAATATACCTGCTAAGCCAGTTTCTTTATAATTCTTGCCTTGTAATGCCTTGTGTGTTTCTTGAGGTCTAAGCATTTATTTCACTTCTGTGCATTTATTACTTTGTCATATCTGGGAATTTAACTTTATGATGCTTAATCCTGAGTTAAAGGTAACTTGTGATATTGTGTTCCGTGAGTACACACAGAGTAATTGGGAGCGAGGTTTATTGCTTTTAAATTGGCTTCTGGCTTGGTATAATTCATCATTTCTTATCCTGAGTTCTGATCAAAAGTAAATAGCAGCCCACAGCATAGAGTTCATCTCATCAACTATTCAAAGTTATATTGTTACATAATGAAATATATACATAAAAATATATATTGCAAATATTTATATCGCAATTGCCTTCACATACACCAAATATTTATATCACAATTGCCTTCACATACACCAATTAGGATTGGATGCATTGGTGTTTCATTTGAGATGAAACATTTGAGATCATTTGAGAAATTATTTCTCAAAATACTATCACCCAAAATCTAATCTATGTTAGTCTTTGCACACATCATTAATTTGTATTGCTTGGTTTTGGATCTCAATTTCTGCCTTACTAAGATGGAAGGATCCATATATGACACAATATTCATAATACTAAAATGCTACTAATGCATGTAGGGACGTTACAATATTTTAAAGATTGTTTTCAGTTTCTTTGTCTCTTATCCTGCTTTTTGTAGGTATTTTCAATCATTTGGTCGCAGGGATCTGCAGACTATCTTTCCCAGAGTTGTTTTAGAATGCAATAATTCAGAAAAATATTTCATGTTGTTCTTTCAAATATAAGATATGTAGGGATTACTCAGAAATGTTAATTTTTGCCTACTAATACTACTAGGATAAAGTTACTCTGTGTGAGTATCCCCTTTTAACGTTCCTATGTTCTCTATAATTCTAAAAAAAATTGCTCTGTAATTGTGTAAGGCTTTAAGGAAACCTAACAAAAAATAAGCAATCTGAAGATACTATGTCATATGAAAATTAACTGTCATATATTTCTATTTTCTTGTGTTTTCAAGCTGATAATTGAGAGCCATAATGGCAGACATAGGAGATGGACCATATTCGGGGGAAGATCTGACAGATGCAAAATCTATTCCTGGTTTCAAAGGGTAAGTGAGGTACTTCTGGTTTAAGTCTTCAATTTAAGTCTTGAGGAATCTTGTGCCGTAACAGAAGGCGAGAGCTATAGAAGAAATAATGCTAGAAGGAAGAGTTTTGATTATGATAACTTATAATAATCATAAACAACTATTAGAGTTTTACTGACTTTGAAAATATACAATCTCTGACAGAACAGGCCATGTGTATGTACAAGGAACTAAAAACTTGCAGTGCAGTTGGATTTGGCTTAATGGTATTATCAAGTGGTTAGCTGTTCTTGAAAAGAGACTTCTCTGTCTCGTCCTGGGCTAAATGTTCACCCCTTTCTTTGAACTGCTAGAGCTCACCTGACACTGTGGCAGACAGTTCAGCTGCTTGAGCTGACCTGCTGTAGGGTTATATGAGCAGAAGCACAAGTGCAAGGGGAACTTAGAGGGGTGAAAGGGAGGAAACACAAGCCTCTTCTTCCTGGTGACAGCTAGTTGTTATGCTGGTGTAACACTGTCTTCAGATTACACTCTCTCTGGGAACTTAATTTGTTTCTGAAGTCATTCTTTTTAGTATTACAATGAAAATTAGATTTAAGAATATTTCAGACTTTTTGTTTGTATAATACGATAGCAGGCTCCAATCTTGTAACCACCTACCCATGTGCTTAAATGAGAAAATCCGTACTGATTTCAGTGTATATGGACTGAGTGAAATATGTTATATAATATACAGTAATATAATTCTCTTTGGTTAGAATTCAAATAGATTTATAATCTCAGAGCTGATCTTCCCTCCAGGTACATAGCTTTCAAAAGATGATAGTAAAAACACCCAACTGATTTCATGTTGATATAATAGTTGGTTTCCTAAACTAATTTTTCATGTTCTCTTGTGCAGAGGCATTATCATCTTAGACATGGTTCTTCCTTGATTCTTTAAATTTTAAGCTTGTTAAAAGTTGCAAAGAAGAATAGTACAAATACAAATGACTCTTCATTTTTACTTTTTTTTTAAAAATTATTTGTGTACGTGAACATTTTACCAAACTTGAAACAAAAGTTTTGTTTGGGAACATAACTATACAAAGCAGTTTTATTTATTTTAACCTCTTGGCAAGTACAGTCTTCGCTAGCCCTAAATCAGATCTACCAACTGATTTCACAGACATAGCTTAGAATCATAGAACAATAGAATGGTTTGGGTTGGAAGGGACCTTAAAGATCATCTAGTTCCAACCCCCCTGCTGCGGGCAGGGACACCCTCCACT